TTTGTTAAAAATCAACATTTAGTATGAAAAACTTTTTTGTTTTTCAAAATATCTTAACCAATTTTACAGATTATATGTTTGGTACAGGTTTATATATTCCTACCAACTTTGGTTAAAATCAGATCTCTATATCGTATAGCTCCCATACAAAATTTTTATTAAATTATTTTTTTTCCAAGACCTAACTTTAATTTTTAAGTTTTTGTTCTCTTAATGGGAACGTTAGTGAAATATAAGTAAAAAAAAAAATATTCACTTATATATTGTGTGTTTAATTTGTTCAGCAACAATCGTTCGCAGCTTAAGGGGGGGTAAGGTTAATTGGGTGCAAAACTCACTACTTTTCAAAAAAATGTTGTGACGAAACGGCTAAAATTAGCTTAATGAATTAAATACCATATAATAACACAACATTTGAACATTTTTTTTTTTAATTTTTGTATTAAAAAATATTTTCATGCTTACGAGTAATAGCGAATCTCCTGAGCCCCCACAAAAAAAGTTTATTTTCGGTGTACATCCTATCCTAACTGTCCACAAAAACATCCGATATCAAAAAAATATATTGTATTCACTAAAGGATACGTGCCCCGAGGTACTCAGATGACGTTTTTATTTTTAACATTTTTTCCCGATTTTTTATCAACCCGGATTATTGGCGCTGGCAAAATTTGACCTTGAAAAAAATAAGAAGTCGTGTTAGAATATTAACGATTACAACTACATCCGCAACTTTCCGCACCTAACTTTAACGAATTTAACATCTTAAAACTCTAATAAATTTAAAAAAATAAAATCCTTTCTGGGAATCGTGGGGGATCACAACTAAAACTTTAGGTAAACAAATTTAAGACACACAAAACAGGTACAAACAAATAGGTTTCACATATCAAGTTAGATTTTGTTAATTTCATATCAAGTTAGTATAAATTAATTTCATAAAGTAAAATAAATACCTTGAGATTCAAAATCCATTTTAAATAATATTAATTTATCGACTTGAACAGTTACCAGACAGATTTAAAGTGCGCTTTTGCTTCGAAATATTTCACCACAGCTCCGATGCGCTGTTGAAATGAACACGTGTTCATGCTTTTGATTCTATTTTTAGAATGTACCGTTGGGTTTCCAGCGAAAAGCGGTTTGCAACTTGGTAGATTGGACATTTTAGAGACAAACTGTGTAAATTTAATTGTAATATTTTCAAATTGGTTTTTTTGATTTTTGGCCTCTGACGGAACCACTGTGCTATGGGAGTTTTTGGTCGACCATTTAACTAACTAACTTCGTCTTGGAGCGAGCTTCGATTAAATTTATTGAACCAGTTTTTCATAGTGCTATGGGATGGTGGCATACCATCACCATGCCAAGATTTAAGTTCATCGATGCACTCTTGTCTACTACACGTCGATATTTGTGAAAAATAATGGCATGAAAATGTTCAAGAGTTCATTCTTCTTTTTTTTTATGCCAAATTGACTCGCATTCCTTGATATTGATATATGTACATGACATCCTTTCCGGGGTTTCATTGGTTAACCACGGTATCTATCGCTCTTGATACCAGTTTTGGTTGAATTATTGCAGGCTCGTACTGCACATGCGATGATCACCAAACCTAGTCACAATGGTTCGTTCTTTCATGGAGATAGAGAACATACAGCCAGGCCACTTTGCTGCCATACACACGCGCTCTAAGAATGGGGTTTTCGTCGTCGAGTACCCCTTTAAGAAGGAGGCGCCTTCTATTGATTCTACTTTGCCGCCGACCATCAATCGTTTTTTTTTCGTTAGAACGTAAATTTCATCGCTCTCCTGAATTGATGCAGCGGTACTAAGCTTTCCTAGACAGCTACTTGCAACGATGGCATATGAAAAAATTTACATCAGCTCAAGTTGACAAGTCCCTAGCAACATGTTTCTACTAGCCGCACCACACCGTCATCAAACTGGACAGTTTGACTACCAAATGTCGTGTAGTTTTCGATGAATCGGGAAGGGACAGCTTTGGAGTATCCCTCAATGAACGACTTCATATTTACCCGGTTTGGTTTACATTTCCGGCGCACCAATACGTTTTATGCGCAAATATCGAGAAAATGATCCGAGGAATTCAAGTCTTCAAGCCACACACCAATTATCATCGCCTTGTTTGGCGTAAGCATGAGATGAACACCTGCTTTATTTTCGCCTGTTGACGGTTATGGGGGTGCAACTTATTCGAGGAACTGATGATTCTGAAAAACGAGCTTATAGGGTCTTCCCAAACACCGTCAAAGCGCATCCACCGTCCGTTGAACAAACGGTAAATAAGGTTTTGCCGTTCCGAAAATTCCCACTTGGACCGCCGCACAGTAGCGCCTCTCGAACAATTAGCGTTTTAAACCGAACTTATTCGACAGAAAATTTCCCAAGGATTCAGAATCTGCAATAAAATCTATTTTAAGATTTTTTTTGTAGAATATATGAGCATTCAAAGTTGAACTTTCTTTTGTTTTTTGCATCATACCAAAAAAAGTAGCTAAAATGGTCGACTGTCAGGTAATATTACACAAAAACCATAAAACCAATGGTCATGGTTTTTACTTTGAATTATAGATTCATTCATAAACTGTTAATTAACCCAAAAAAACGGCACTTTGGTTTGGGCTTGTACAGGTAAATCGCTACCTGCCAGGTGTCCATTTTTTCACCTTTTTCTGCCTAAAGTAGTCTATAACTTCTGAAGCCGATGAAAGCCACCGACTACACTATGTCTACAAGTTACTGTGGATCTTTCCTGGACCAGAATTAACTTTCATCGGCTGCGTCGAGGTGCGTCTGCGGAAATGCAACGACATAAACCAAAACTACTCAGGGTTAAATATACCAAAATACCGATACAATTTCATACATTCCAAGAAATATACTAACTGTAGCGCGTGGCGGTTACACTTTGAATTAAGAAAAAAAAATTTTTTTTAGTTTTCAAATTATTTTTATATGAGCAAATACATAAAAACAAACATAAAAAATTAAATAAAAAATAATTTTTAAAAATTGTTTTCATTGAAAAAAAAAAATTTTTACCACTTTGATCCCCTTTAAAGAGGCGGATTTGTAGGCGTGGTACTTTATGCAGTACATATATACATTTTACAACAATTACCTGCACAATGCCGTTTAAATTATTCGATTACCTTATTTGGTTCAAAAGTTATGATTTTTGCAACGCTAAATGAGAAAAGGCGCTACTGTGCGCCGCACAATTTCCTAAGGATTCAGAATCTGCAATAAAATCTATTTTAAGATTTTTTTGTAGAAGATATGAGCATTAAAAGTTGAACTTTCTTTCGTATTTTGCATCATAAAACTGCACGTCAGACGGTGCGGACAAGTATAAGACCTTGCCCGATGTGCAACCGAAATATTTTGGAACAAAAATGAAATAAAGCTTAATTGCTGCCGCTTTCCTTGATCTCTAGTCGGCTTAACATGATATCTATAAATATTTTCCATATGCTATTGAACGAGATATTTTCGGAATGAAGCCTTTTTCAGTCATTTTTGGTAGGACCCTCACCCTCGATATAGTTTGATCCATTCTAGTTTAATTTATTTATTTTAAAAAAATATTCACTTAAATAATATTTAGTTATACATATTAAGCAAGTCTCCTTGTGTTACAGTCTATATTTTAATTATAAATATATATTTGAGTCAATCCTTTTGCAATCATTAAGATATTTAAATTTTAGCTCTATTTAGATGCCAAAAACAAAGATCATCTTTCGATGGAAAAAGATTGACCCATATACATATATGTATTTTTATATGTATTTAAAAATACAATTAAATATATTGTAAATATTAATAAGCACTGTAACATCACTTAATTTGGTAAGCGTTAGATATATATTCACAGCCAATTCTTAAAACGGTTTTGATTTTCATTTACCACGTAAGACTAATTATTGTACTACATTTTTGTAGAATTTATATTATTTTGTTCTTATTCTATAATGTGAAAAAATAAAAATGTGAACGGAAACTAATTGGAAAATAAGCGTTTAAAAAATGTGCCAAAACTATGCAACAAAATGTTATTTTGAAAAACAAGTACTCTAAATTCGGTACTTCAAACATTTAATGCATACTTTTACACATTTTAAAGTTGTTTTAAGCCCGTATAAATAATCCATAATATTTCGTCAATACTTTATAAATGACCAAAAAATAGTTAATTTTTTGTGTAATTTCTTAAATAATACAATACAATTCAAACTTAAGCGTAGTGTTTTTAAGTTGATCAGTTCATAGAAATTGCAGCAGTTTGAAAATCTATTGAAATCGCTTTACATAAGTAGGCTACAAAATCTTTGTGACCCCAAATATTTTGTGGCATACTTTTTAGGGCAACGTAACAGTTATCAAATCAATATGCCATTACTGTCGCATTCTGTTCGTTAATCTATTCTTAACCTGTTTAAATCAGACTTTTTATAAAACATATGTAATAATAGAAGCACACTCAATATATTGACCAAAATGTGTGACACTATTATTACGAATCAAAAGTTGCAAAATTGTTAGATGCCTTTTAACTTACTTTTTTTTTTTAATTTTTTAAATATTATCATTACATAAACCAATATTATTTAAATTTCATTACTTTTAAGAAATTAATATAAATAATTGCAGTCATTATGTTACTACGTTTCGATATATTTTGCTGTTACTAGTAACTACTATTGTCATTAAATTGTCGTACTTATTTTCATTCTATTATTAGTCTTTTCAAGTCTAAGTCGCTTAGATTCTGTCAGACAACAATTAAGAATTTGAATACCGATAGTTATGGAAGTTATTAATTTAATTTCGATAGATTTATGATCGCAATTTGCATTTCAAATTAAAATTATCTTTAATTTATAGAGTTTTAAGGGGTTAATTTATTAATATTTTTTTAAATGATTGGAAGTGAGATCGTTTTAATTTTTAATTTTTTTTTTATGTTCTATTCGAATAAATCAATTGTGTATATTTTTTAATATTTTCCTTCAAGCTTTTTGTTTAATATAATATAATTCAATGTTCTTTTGATGTCTTCATTTAAGTATTGAAGAAGAAGAAGTACCTTCTAATAATATTTTTTCCATTCTGTAAATGTGTTTTTGCCTAACAAAAGCCGAAAATGAGTATTACGAACACAATTTGTGTAGAATCTTTGTTGATTAAATGATCATGACACATAGTCCCGATTTGAATATTCGTCAATATAACGTCCAGAAGCTGTAACAATTTTTTAATATGAATTTAATGCGTCTTATTCAAATGGAATAAATCACTTACAATCCTCCATTAATATAACTTGGGTATTTTCTATGTTTGTACTAGTTATTGAGTGTGGAATTGCATTGAGCTCTTCGTCGTTCCATCGTGTCCTTGTATTTGGACGTGAAATAGGCATTGGAGCTGAGTAAAGGCTCAAATTGGTCGGACTTATGACGCCAGACATTGTTGAAATAGTGCCGGCATAACCCAAAAGCTTACAAAAAGATATTTATATTATATAAATTAATTAGTATTAATATTTAACATATAAATTAATAAATAATATAATTATTAAAAGTCCATGTATTTTATGCTGATTAAGATACAATCGCATAGACTTATTGAAATTTTACCAAATTCTAGTCACTCACCGATGTGGGTTGCGAATGAAAATGATTAAAATAATCTCGATTATTGGGAGAGGAATACATTTGCGTGGCTGCTATACGGCTGATGGTATTGGCTCCAGTAACTGGCGATGATAATAGTTTGCATCGAGTACTAGTATCTAGATACGTTTGAGGACAATCTCTCGGTTGAGCTTGTGACTGTGATTGAGCTTGAGATTGAGGAGATGTACTAGCTGCAGATATTTCTTGATTTTCGATTTCTATAACGTCCGTCGTAGCTCCTCTATTATTATCATTCGTTCCCAAATTATTTTTTCCCAAGTTCGCCGATTGATTGGCCAGAATTATGGGAGAGGGTGGAGGACTGGACTGTACTAGTGTAAGGTGGTCACCACTGCTCCGGATGATCGCTACAGGTCTGGCCATTGGTGGCAACATTGGCGGCAACATAGTACTATGATAATGATGACTTGATTTCGCATGAATATGAAATTGTGGTGAATGTGAATGCCCTTGGGACGAGGAAACAGGCGAGTGTGTGTGTGGAGTAACTGAATGTTGAACTGAATGTGAATGTTGAAAGGAGGGATGACTTTCAACAGCTCCAGAAATTGTTGTCGAATGGCTCGAATCCTGACAAACGTAAGTTACAAAATCGGAAATATCGTGAGGTTCCGTAGAGGAGTATTTATCGTCAGACGAAGTAGCGCATATAGGTAATCGAGAATTATTGGGCTGTGAGTAATACAAAGTACTAATCGGACTTGTTGATGTTGGTAGCAATGAAGAGCAATTGTGTTGTGGAAGAGCTGAAAATTAATTAAAATTTTAATTATATTAATTATATAACGAGTAAAATAAATGCATTAAATTTTGTAACAATCAAAGGTCAAATAATAGGAATTGCTCCAAAAACAGAATTTGAAATGATTCTTTTAGCAAATAGAATTATATGCAATATGCAAGACGTTGATGCACTAAGTACAGTACATATCAAGTGGAACATGCGACACCAAGCACGTGCTTGTTCTGTTAGCAGTTAGTAGGCGCGAAAGAAATAAATAGAAAAGGATGCGAGGAAACTACTACTGGTGTGCTGCCGGATTGGTTGCTTGCATGCGTACTAAGTGGGTTAAGATTAAAGTTTTCAGGTGTGGGAGGCTTTCAACATTAGATGTTATGGTGTACAAATTATTATTTGCACAGAGGACTCTAAAGGGTTCATGCAGTTCAAAGGATGTTCTACAGTGGGGCAAAACTAATGGTAAAGGAGATCTAGTGTTTCTTATTGGTATGTGAAAATTTAGCTCCCAGCAAGTCAGCACGGATTAAGTTATATAAGAATGTAATACCTAGCATGGTTCTACGATTAGATAAAGAGGGTAAGTTAATTAGCAGGAGTCTACTAGAATAAGACGGCAACCTCTGGTTTGCATCCCAGTTTAAGCCGCGTAAAGCAAAAAGTAAGAAGTTCTTTTGAAACGATTCTATGCGATTACTGTGGACGCCATAATTAGGGCTCCAAACGCAGGATCCATATTCTAAGAAAGGATGAACCAGTGAAGTATATAAAGATTTTGTAACATATGGGTCATTCAACGAATTCAACGATTTGTTATTAAATATCAGTCTAGGAATGATAATTCATTCGAAGGAGAATACAGTAATTGGAACTTTATCTCGTTGGGAAATTAATGTAATAAGTTTATAATTAATTTGATAGATAAATTTGGTTCATTTGTGGAAAATAATTATAAAGAGCTAAAAATAAATATATAAATATAAAGTTTTAAAGAAGCAGGACGTAAAGTCAATAGAGCCAACAGGGATTCATAGTTAAAATGCGGAAAATGCTTTCCAATGCGCTGATGTTTCTATTTTAAAACTTAAAAAGTATATTCACCTTGAGTTATGGACCTATTGTTAAGCGACGTATAACGATGCAATGAGTTAATAGCTGAGACTGCAGAATCTGTGCTGACTTTTTGATCACTTTCTGAAGATCTCAAAATTAAAGAAAAACTGCTGCCGTTGACATTATTAGATGATGAATTACTAGCGATAATAGGCGGTGAAATACTTGGATCGACTTTTGCATCAGGAGGTCCATCTTCTTCATTTGTTACATCTCTGCGTAATAGCGGACTTGGCGATAAATTGGGATTTGTCCTTTGATCTATAAAATCAACTAATGACACAATAAATATTTTTCCTCATTAGCATCTTGAAAATTAAGTATACTATAGTATAATACTTACTACTATAACCAACAGAAATTGTTGTTGGATTGGGAACATTTGGTCCATGTTGTTGTTGGACTTCAGAGCTCATTTGATATGTATTGCAATCATAGTTAGTTCCAACATTCTCTCTTTTAATAAGATTAGAGTGAATGGTATTATCGCTTGATTCATCTAGAATTAAATCTAATAGAAGTTTTATTACTAGTATTTTCCATATCAAAAGTATTTTAGTATTTTTCCAAATTTATAGAAAAAAATCTTTAGAAAATATCTTTTACCTTTGGATAATGTCCACAATTCTTGTGAAGAAAATACCCCAGTTGCTAAAATAATGTCATTACAAACAACGCCATTATATGGATTTTGACTAATATTCTCATTTTTCATGTCGTCTTTTCTGCTCACTGGATCGTTGTTATTACGATGATATAGGCTTAAATGAGGTGATCTTGAAGGTCTTGAAGAAAAAGTCGCTGAGCTATGAGTATTGATAAAGTTTGCCAAATACAAATCCAATTCTCTCACAGAGACATTTATGTGATACGGATTTACACACAATCCTGGGTGTAAGCATTCGGGATTCTTTTCCAAACGCTCCCCATCGGTACTCTCCAAAGGTATAGCCTTGAATAGGATTACCATCACTAGATCAAGTCTCCAAACTTTGTCCGCCTGCCTCAAGCAATCGATTCGTCGCATTTTCCCCTTTTGATCCGGGTTGGAGAGAACGCATATGGATTTGCGTTTTCCAATTATCGATTGTACAAAATCCTCACGACTTTCTTGGGTAATGTCTTTTCGTAGTTTACCCAGGAGACGGGACGCCCACTTTTGTTTTACCTCCGTTTTTTCATTCTATAAGAAAATAAACATTAAGGTGTTAGAAAAAAACTCGATGTTCCAATATATTTTTTTTATTTTAATGAAAATTTTTTATTTAGTAAAGTCCTTTAAATTATGTTTTAAGTTTCTTTCCTGTATCCAATTCCCATCAAATGGAGCCATATTTATGTTATAAAAAACTGAACAACTATAGTTTCAATATCCCTTAAATAGTTAAGAACATCGATCACCACTTTCGATGCTTTCACAGCTCTGCTTCGAGAGTATACTAAATTAAATGTTAATAATTTTTAGACTTACCTGTAGTTCATCTTTGCAATGTCTTTCTTCTTCCAATGACATCCGCTTTTCATGCTTTTTATAATACTTCCGCTTAGCGGCTTGCAAATTGAACCAAGAGTACGAAAATGATTTGACATACGGCAAAAGAGCTTCAATAAATGGGTGAAATTCATCCTAAATAAAATACAAATATTATATTTATTAATTAAAATTAAATAATATTTTTATTTTTAAAAGTATAAATTAGTATAAGTACACACATCCTAGATTTATTAAACAAGAACACCTCTTAAGTGACCGAAACTAGTTAAGTTGTTTGTAGTTCATTTTTATACCCTTGCTTGGTTTGGCCAGATGTTTGCAACAAGTCATTTCCGACACCATTATATATAAATCGGAGCAGGCTGAGAGCTGGGAAGTGACAGCAGCAAAGCAGAAAGGGAGACGATAAAGTTCATTCAGTTGTTTAGAGTTCAGCAGTAAAGTCATAAGCAGAGAAAACAAATAACGAAAGTTGAAAAAAGTAAAAAGCTGATAATCGGGAAACTTGTAAATTCCAAAAGAAATATAATATTTTAAAACTATTTTAATAAAGACTAACCTAAGATGGTTATCAACCCATCTCACATATATGTATGTATATTTTTTTCTGGTCAGCATCGATCATGCCATGTCCGTTACTATGCGAACTCTCAGTTTTTGAGATAAATGAATAAAATGAAACTGAATTGAACTTCACAGATAAAACCCATTCCATCGTAGTCATTTCAGACTCCTTTAAATATTTATGTAGTATAGTGTAGTACATATATTAATAATCATTATTACCGACAAAGTCAATTAAGCTACGTCCGTCTGTCGGTGAGTGTAAAACAACAGAACTAAGCTATATAAGTCAATTTCGTCTTAAAGTCTGGGTATTTCCTTGACGACTGAATGTTTGCATTACTGAAAATATCGGCGATAGTTAGTCGATTTTTTCAGACGTAAAAAAAAAGAGAATACCGTTAGTTATATCAAATAATAGAACCAAATCGTTCCCTTGAGGGAAGTATAATCCGAATAATACAAATGGGAATTAGTAGACAATCAGGCCTGATCTATTTCCCGCTTCCGCAAAATCTACAGGCCTTCGGATTTTCCTAACATATTCTATTTTCCACTTTCGAAAAATCCCCACGGATTGGTATTCCCCTTAAGGGAAGGGGGATATACATTCATGCAAACGGCAAAAAAATGTTGACCATTTTTTTTCGTGTCGGAAATCCAAAACCAAAAATTAATTGTATTTATCATACGTTTATCTTCTATTTAAACATAAAAAACCTAAGAAAATTATAACAAAAACAAGTAAATTTAGTTTTGATAGATATATTTATACATAGCATATAATAATTTGGTTTTGATATTTATATTAAATAAATAAATATATTTAATGCTGAAAACACATAAAAAACAGAGTTTCATTACATTTTACATATACTTATTATGTTAACAGTTTGACCAGTTACTGTTTTACATTCCTAGCTTTACATTTTCTCTACATCTACCGATCGTTTTTATGGCAGCTACAACATTGATAAAATGTATATTAAAATTTTGAAAAATTCAAAACAGTTCATATCTCGGAGTAGATTAAAATACGTTGAAAAACAACGAAGTTATCATGTTTTTCTCTTAATTTCCTAATCGTTCCTATGTCAGCTATAAGATAAAGTTGTCCCATTAAAAATTATTATTATTAGAATATGTTGAATATGCAAAAAGAATTTTATTTATTTATTTATTTATTTAAAGCTAACTCATAGTTAAAAACTAGTGTTAACAAAAATTTTTGAGCATTGGCATGCAAAAGGAATATAATTTCATGCTAATGATAACAGTTTTTTATTCAGTTCGATATGTTCTACAGTTTTTTGGGAATCTTTTAAGTAACATAAGTAAAAACGCAAAAATTAAATTATTACTGGAGAAACTGGAGAAAAATACATTATAAAATATTAATGAGCCCAGGTAACTCAGTCACTTAGAGTTCCAATTCGATCATGAAACTTACACAGTATATCTCTAAAAAATAAACTATTTTTGAATACAAAAATGTTTAATTTGTAATTTTAAATTTTAACACAATATTTATACAATTTTGTGTTACTTTTTGTATTGAAAAACATTTAGAGGCATACGAATTATAGGTAATCTCCAGAGGGCCCTCCAAAAACAAGAACCTAATTGTTAATCATCCGACATCAATAAAATATAATTGAATCGTTAAAGGATAAGTGTCTCGAAATACTCAAGTGTTTTTTTCCTGCTTACCTATAAAAATTGGAAGTCAATACCTCGAACTTTGACTAAAAATTGAGTTACCTTGTAAAAAAAACCCCGACGAATATCTTTAGAATTAGTTAAAGAAGTTTTGTACCAAATTTTAAAACATTTGGCGCAGGAGATTTTTAGTTATCGTGTACACAGAGTCTCAAAATGACACTTTTTAGGAGAGCGCTTTAAGCACCAAACGACCGCGTTCAAGATCGCATTACTTCGTCAATTTAGCTAGGATCTATTAAAATAAATATAATGATGATTAATATACCTATTCCACTGCTATATATTTAAAATTTCTCGTTTGTATTATAATTTTTTTTATTTGATCAAAACCAAATTATTTTGTGCTATGTATAATTCCATTAATGGTTCAAATCTTTATGATACAATTGCAAACTGCAAGGGTATACAAACTTCGGCGTACCGAATATAGCTTCCTTTCTTATTAGTATCGTAATTCCTCCACCAACAAAACGTCTTGTTTCCAAAAGCAACTTAATGCTTCTGTAATTCAGTAATTCACTATAGGTACATGTTATTAATACAAAATTTTTTTACTGAAAAACGCCCAGACACAAGGGGAATGACGTTGCTTTTAATGTAGATGCAATGGGCCCTCCTCAACAGGTTTGTATATGATGTAGTCCTTTAATCAGGCTCGTTCCGACATACAGTGCCGAGCAAAATTAATTGTATATTCATGACTCTGACTTTGGCCATCAATCAAAATCCAACCACACAACATCCACATCCAACAATTTTATTTTATAGCAAGAAGCACTAGCTCATTTTTTCAGCGCACTATGGTCACGTCGACCATATGGCAAAAATAGGAACTCAGTAAATTTAAGTGATGTCAACTTGAAACTTTACCAATTGTAATATTTTCCTTATACGATGATACTGGATCAAAATTTTCTGGATCAGGAAACTATATCCTATAGCTTTTTAGAAATTAGATATTTGTAGTTTGCATGAGTACAAAGACGGTTTTACAGCGTTTCAATTGGCATTTTCATACAAAATGTGGACATCTTATGTTGGAAATTTAAAGAAATGTGGTCAAATGTGGCATTTCTCTCTTTATACCAATAAACCAGTATAAAATACCCTACAAATCCCAATGGGTATCAAGGTGGGACTTACTTTATATATCTTTTTAAAGTTTTTATTTAAGGGGGGACATCTGAGTAACTGGCCAAAAAAAATCCGTTTTTCAAAATTTTTTTTGGCCAAATGAAAAAAGCAAATCGAAAAATTTTAAAGTAGGTTTTATAATGTTATATGTGAAGTACAAAATACATTTTTTTTTTAATAAATCGAAAACAAAATGGCGGCTGTGCAGCATTGCTTCGTAGGCTCTATTTTTTTGAAAGGGGTCCATGGCCGGAAACCTAACGTCCTTAATTTTTGATCTAGAACAAAAAATCAAATTGTGTTAGTTTCATTATCTCAACCGCTATCGACACACGTAGGATTTTTTCGATATTTTGATTTTAGGCAAAATGGTGAGTGATTAAATAAAATGTTCAATTTTCATGAAAAAAAACGTCACAAAATTGTTGATAAAAAAAAAGTAAGCAAAAAAAAAAATCCTACGTGTGTCGATAGCCATAGGTATTTTGAATATACTGTCAAAATTTCAAATCGATCGGTTAAGATTTGTTCGAGTTAGGTTTCCGACCAACTCAAAAAAAGTGGTTTTGAGAAAAACGCGTTTAAAGTTTTAAAATCGTATATATTTACATGAGAGGCATCGCCGCAGAATGGAAAATTTCGACACTTAGACACATTTGCCGGACTCTATCTTTTGGTATGTTATTTTTAAGACCCTAAAGAATTTTTTAAGCAAAAGAAAAATTTTTCGATTTTTAAAAAAAGTTACTCAGATGTCCCCCCTTAAACAAAAATTTTAATATTTTAGACGACAAAGACATCACAACTTGGGACATTGAACAATACAAAACATGTAGTGCAGTCGATCGAGACAAAAATCACTTTAATTGGGCAATTTTCTTAAAAGTAAAGCGGTCGGCTGGAGCATAGTGCAGCGTAGCAGGGTTTTGGTTGCTTTTCGTCACACGAAAATAACATTTTTATGTAGGTAGATTTCGATTTAATTTAATTTTTTTTCATCCGTTTACTATAAAATAGTCTATTTGTAAAATTTGTTTATTGACTTATTAAGTTTTGTGTATTGTAGATTGATTATATCTTGTTTTTTTTTTTAGATCGTAGTTTTGGATCTTTAAATAGACTTTCAGATATGTTACCCCCGATCCGCCCTTTATAGGTATTATCACTGTGTTTATCAATTATAAACAAGGATCGCAAATAAAAGTTATTAGAAAGTAAAATTATACATATTTTACATATAACATATAACATACATATAAAAATTGACAATAACTTTTATTTTAAAAATGGAAAATAAAAATTGAATTGCAATAACTTTTTAACTGATCGACCTATTTATTGGCATAAATTTAATCTACTTTACAATACCTTTCGTTCCTTAAGTTATTGCAATTCAATTTATATCTTATAGCTGCCATATGAACGATAGGGAAATTAATCGAAAACAAGAAAGGAAGCTAACTTCGGCACGCCGAAGTTTGTATACCCTTGCAGATTGGTTTTCATATTTATATTATTAATTATAATGCCGAAAACAGACACTAAACAGAGTTTCATAACATTTTACCTATACTTATTATGTTTACAGTTTGACAGTTACAGTTTTTATGGCAGCTATATGATATAGTTGTCCGATTTTCATAATATTGTTACCAAAATTCTGAAATAATACTAAAAGCTCATGTCTCAAAGTAGATGAAAATACGTTGAAAAACAACGAAGTTATAATTTTGTCTATTACTTTCCCTATCGTTCCTATGACAGCTATAAGATATAGTCGTCCGATTTACATAAAATTTATAGCAAAATTCTGAAATAATACCAGAAGCTTATGTCTCAAATTAGATTAAAATACGATGAAAAACAACGATGTTATATTTTTTTTCGATTAATTTCCCGATCGTTCCTATGGCAGCTATAAGATATAGTAGTCCGATTTTCATAAAATTTTTACCAAAATTCTGGAATATATCTTAAAAATGATGGAATAATATTGAAAAACAGCCAAGTTATAATTTTTTTTTCTAAAAATTTATCGAACATTTGTATGGCAGATATATGATATAGTCGTCCGATCCTGCCCGTTCCGACATATATAGCAGTGAGAGTATATAGAAGACTATATGCAAAGTTTCATTCAGATAGCTTTAAAACTGAGGGACTAGTTTGCGTAGAAGAAAATGTAAAGCTGGGAATGTATAACTGTAACTGTCAAACTGTAAACATAATAAGTATAGGTAAAATGTTATGAAACTCTGTTTAGTGTCTGTTTTCGGCATTATAATTTATAATATAAATATGAATATGAAAACCAATCTTCAAGGGTATACAAACTTCGGCGTACCGAAGTTAGCTTCCTTTCTTGTTAAGGTAAAATTTTGGTATACCATACATGTATAAAACTTCATTAAACATAGAATCTGTAAGTTTGGTTAACAAATCTTGAAAAACAAAAGGTTTTTTATATTAATTGCTTATTATTATCGTTCGTATGGGGATTATATGATTTAGGTGACCGATTTTAACTAGGTGTCGTACGCACTGCCGTTAAAACGTGTGGCAGAAGTAGAGATAAATGCAATGCTGTGAATGTAAAACTGTTACTGTAGAACTGTAATTACAATATCTAACATGTTAGTTAATTAAAGTCAACATTATCTTGTATTTGTTCAGCAAATATGTATCTTTAAATTTGTAATGGTGTCGTTCGATTGATTGTTAAAGTGTTATTTTAGCGCGCGAATTACAAACTAATTAACAACTTTTGCCATTTATTTTTGATCACGAAAATAAACTGAAAAGTTTTGAGTTGAATGTGCAAGCGTTCCTTGTTTTTTTTTTATCAATAATCGGCTGTTTAAAATTAGCATACTTTCCTGCAGTACCCTTGTAAAGCGTAGGGTAAGGTGGGGTAAAGCCGACCTAGTAAATGGTTTTGGCTATAAAATGCTTATTTTACATCGGATCAAGTCGTTATATATACCAAATTAAAGGTTAGACCTTTGCGCAACTTTCTATGCATAGCATTTTATTCATACCTTTGAAAAGTTTTGAGATACAAGCGTTTTACGAAAAAGTTCATTTTTGCTATGTTCAAAAATGATGGGGTAAACCCGACCGCCTATGTTTTTGGTTGATTTAGTACAGATATAACCTAAATATAGGTTTTGCAATGATATATCAATCAAAGTTATGTTATATAATGGTAATAAAAGATAATAGAATTAAAAAAATGAAAATAGCAAAATAATTAATCAGTATCATCTGATTCGCTGCTCAAATAGCTTGCTGGCGTTTTTTGGTTCGAGTTGAACGTCTGGTTGGCTGCGATGTTGATGGTTTTTGTGTGATTGTTGTTTTTTTGGCTTTTTTTGCGGCAGGATTTACCCCACTATTTAGAGGTCGGATTTGCCCCACGACGTAATTTTTCATAAAAACGCAATTAAAAAAGAAATTATGAAAAAAAATGAACCAAACTTATATGCACTTTGTAGGACTTTATTCAAAGAATCTAAATCCACTTACCTTTTCATGCGATAACTTTGACAAAAAGAAATATCCTGCAGTTAATTATGCACAAAAATGAAAGTCAAAATTGTGAAAACAAACTTGTCGTCGTTTGACCATCTCAATGTTGACTAATAAAATGGTGTCATACCACCATTTTCATTGTTTTCGATGCTCTACACGACAACACTAATATTATTTTGCGTAGTGCTTCCGATTTTCGAAAACAGAGGGAGGTCGGGTTTACCCACACTGTCGGCTTTACCCCACCTTACCCTATCGTTATAAATATGATGTTAATTATAAGTTTGCAACGCAATGGATAATATTATATATATGCGACCTACATATATATATTTTCTTAATCAGTTATTGAAATTAACTGTGTTTTCGTGATATGACAAAATTCAAATTTATCCAAAAGATTCTTTGAAAGGATAGTAAAATATGATCGTCAGCTTTGATTCCATTGTTTTATTGTACACCTAGTGTTATTGTTATAACTGCAAGGGTTTATAGCTTCCTTTATAGTTTTCATTTCATTATTACTTTGTTGTTATTATTATTATTGTAGATGATCGACAACTTACTGACTATGATCACAGACATATGGTTCATACATATTACATACAGACATATGTATGAAAATTATGTCAGAGCTGAATCTCTTACGGGGATTATTTTTCTAAATATTGCTTCATTTTGATAATAACAAAGGTTGACAGTTTTTTTGAACCAAGAACCGGGATATACTTTTCTGATAGTTTTTAGTTTTATTTAAGAATGTAACTAAATTTGTTAGTCAAAAATCATGATTTTGACGCCATGTGTGTGCCTCGGGACACCTATCCTCTTACTAATGCTTTATTTTTTTATATCGGATGATTTTAGGGATAATTAGAATTCGGTGTACATCCCAATTGTCCCCAAATTTTTTTTGAAGGAGACTCGGGAGATTCCCTATACCTTCTTATAGCTTTAATACAACATTTAAAAACAAATTGCCCCCCACGTACGTACAATTCCTTTTTAAGCAAATTTAAATTTAAATTAATTCGGCCTTAATTTTATGTTTCTTACTTTATTTCATAATTTTCATTTCATATTTTTGACAAAGTATTTTCCTTGTTTTCCAGATGATACAAAGTTAGGAGGTAACCAAAAAAATATTAGCGTGCCATTACCTGTCCCGTTGATGAGGATTGCAAATAAGAAGAAACGTCCGTCTCGATCATACAGCCTCTTAAAGTTTCTGGTATGAACATACTACCTTGTGCAGGTTGTTGTTCATTTAGTTTTATTATTTTTACCGCTTAGAAAAATGTATTGAAATTTATCTGAAAAACAGAATCAAATTTTTATGTAATTAAAGGCAATATATAACACTTTTGTAAGCTTTTTTTTTAAGGTTTATGCATCAAGTAGGCGTCTGTAGGGCTTTTAATGACAATTCAGCTTCCGTAATATATTCGGGGTTCACACAACCTTTTTTAATTATTGGGATCATTACTTCGAAGGCACTTCTGTTTAGTTATAAAAGTTATGAAAGTCCGGCAATAATCTATTAGCATTCCTTACTAGAAAATCAAGTAATCACAGTTGGACACCGGATAGTACAATTCAATTTTGTTTGTTATATTTTACCATTACACAATCGGTGTTTGTGAGGTTCATTCAATGTACATATTTCTGTACATTCTGTACATAATATGTAAGTATATAGGTAATATATGTTATAAACTGTATTTTGGATAAAACAGCGAACATATGAAATATATTATGTACACATGTATGTACGTATACCTAATAATTTATATGCATATGTACATACATTTATATGTATATAAAATATACATATTTAAATTTTTTTCGAGACACACATACTACGTAATGTACGTATTTATTTTAAAAATATTCGAACACCACCGATACAATGTGTGTTAGGCCAAACGAGAGACTAACAAGAGACTAAATTTAAAATTGGCAATATGTGCTTTCCCGTCTCTTTGAGCGGCGTACTTTCCTACGTGAATCCCAAATTAATCAAACTTATACATGCATACAAATGTATGTACATACACATACCACATTCATATATACAAAGGGTCCCAAACAGAGCAGAAATTCGTTCTAAAAATGGATACTCCTTACCACTCTCCGACATTCTGGAAACTGGTACTAAAATAAAGAGAGAGCCCTTTGACAGATAAAAACTCTCTTAGTTCATTTATATTCACAGTGCGCATGTCTCAACAAGCCAACTAAAGTATTTACTCGATATGTAGAAATCTTTATAAACATACATACATACATACATATGTACATATGTACGTATTTACGTGCTTACTTTACTGTGGACGGCAATCCTCGTAGAGGCGATGAGCACCAAAAGTGCAGCAAATCATTTGGCTTTTTGATCTTCTGTTGGGAGAAAGTAGGACCTACAGCGACTCTTCCGGGACATTCTTCCGTGACTTTTCCGGTGCTCCTTTAGAAGAGCCGCTCGCGACTCCATTAGAAGAGTCGCCTCTTTTGGAATTCGAATGTTTTATATGTCTTTTTCTTTTTGCAGGGTATTATAATTTCAGTCAGAAGTTTGCAACGCAGTGAAGGAGACGTTTCCGACCCTATAAAGTATATATATTCTTGATCAGCATCAACAGCCGAGTCGATCTAGCCATGTCCGTCTGTCCGTCCGTCTGTCCGTCTGTCCGTCCGTCTGTCCGTTTCTACGCAAACTAGTCCCTCAGTTTTAAAGCTATCTGAATGAAACTTTGCATATAGTCTTCTATATACTCTCACTGCTATATATGTCGGAACGGGCCGGATCGGACGACTATATCATATAGCTGCCATACAAATGTTCGATAAATTTTTAGAAAAAAAATTATGACTTGGCTGTTTTTCAATATTATTCCATCATTTTTGAGATATAGCCATTTTGTATTATTCCAGAATTTTGGTAAAAATTTTATGAAAATCGGACCACTATATCTTATAGCTGCCATAGGAACGATCGGGAAATTAATCGAAAAAATTATAGCTTCGGTGTTTTTCAACGTATTTTAATCTACTTTGACACATGAGCTTTTGGTATTATTTCAAAATTTTGGTTTAAATTTTATGAAAATCGGACGACTATATCTTATAGCCGCCATAGGAACGATAGGGAAAGTAATAGAAGTAATAGAAAAAAATATAACTTCGTTGTTTTTAACGTATTTTCATCTACTCTGAGATATGAGCTTTACTTATTATTATAGAATTTTGGTATAAATTTCATAAAAATCGGACGACTATATGATATAGCTGCCATAGGAACGATCGGGAAATTGATAGGAATAAAATTATAGCTTCGTTGTTTTTCAACGTATTTTTATCTACTTTGAAATATAAGCTTTTTTATAATTCTAGAATTTTTGTATAAATTTCATTAAAATCGGACAACTATATCTTATAGCTGCCATAGAAGCGATCGGTAAATGTATAAAATATGTAAAGCTGGGAATGTAAAACTGTAACTGTCAAACTGTAAACATAATAAGTATAGGTAAAATGTTATGAAACTCTGTTTTGTGAGTGTTTTCAGCATTTAAATCTATAATAAAAACATCAAAACCAATCTGCAAGGGTATACAAACTTCGGCGTGCCGAAGTTAGCTTCCTTTCTTGTTTTAATTAACTTACTAGTAAGCCCGGTGAACTCCGTTACGCCACCTTCTGCAAATTATCGTTTAATTGAAGTGCTCTTTGGTAAACCACATTTTTTGTGATGTGTTGTGGTTAATGGAATTATCTAGGGACCAAAATAGTCCCTGGGATGTTAAAATCACCTAGAACTACTAAGTGGTCCCTATCCGAAAGTCTTTTAGAGACCAACTGAATAGCGGAAAGATGGTTTCAATAATTAGGAAGTTCCGACAATGGAGGAATGTAGGAACATGTCAGATAGGTCGATCTAATCGGTATACTGTGAACACAGCTTGAAAAAATTCGGAGCTCAGAATCTCCGGCTTTAACCAGGTTTCTGTAAACACAACACATGGGAAGCAAATGTGACACTATTATAGTACAATTTAGAAAGCTTACTGCGTAAGCCTCTAGCATTCTGATAAGAGATACCAAGGAAGTTTGTTAGTTTTTTGAGACGGAATTGGAAGACGTAGAAGGCGCATTGGTCAAATCGGGCCTAGGAAGAGTAATTCTAACTGTCCTTTTTTTCTCCTTGCTTCGAATTCCTTGACAATCATATGCTTTGTTTAGATTTGGACAGAGCATAGTTTCTCAAAGAATTCCTCAGGAACATTTATTTTGAAAGATGAAACTGTCTCGTTGGTGGTATTGCCATAAGGGGTTTTTTCAAGGCCGGCTGATTATCCGCCTTACCAATTTCGGCCGGTAGTCCGGGCCTTACACCCTGGTAGGGAACTGGGGCTCTAAGAGGACAACTTTTTGGGACCCCTCTCCCGAGACACATTCGGATACGGGCTTATAGGCAAAGTGGTTAATTTAACCTGAAATCCACATAATTTACACAGTTCAACTTACCACCTTTTCTGTTGCAATTTTTCTTGAAAAAAAACGCTGAAATATATGAGGTTAATTCCGTAAAAGCTTAGTCTCCTAAGCTTGCCTCAAATGCTAAAAATTCCCAATTTCAGATGCACCATTTGTTTTACTAAACCATTCGAAAGTGCCCAATGTTAAATTAATTAAAATCGTGGACGAAGACAGGCCGGCAATAGCTGAGAATATTCCCACCGCTGGTCCCGATTGGATAGTAATTCTGCAGCGATTCGATGGTAGTGTCGACTTACTTCAGAAATACTTGGATCAAAGCGTTGCACTATGGGTTTTTCATGTTTTTTTTTTGGCATAAAGTCAATTTTTTTTTTCTGTTAATATTTAAAATTTTTTTTAATTTTATTTTTAAACACCCTAGACAGATAAAAAAATATTTAACTTTAACATGTGGAGCAATACTGTTTTGCTTTCGCGCTGTTAGCTAATTATGTACCACCTGTTTTGTATGAAATTGGGGGCAAAAACTTTGCGACTTTGATTTTTTGTTTTGGCGAAAGCTTACACAAAAGTGAAATGAAAAAATATGGAAAATGATTGTCCAGGTATATAAAACTAAAGTTTACCAATTTTTGTGTCGTTAATATGTGTTTTCATACAATTGTACCGTGTTTTGTTTATGTGTATTTTTAGAACGATCTTAAAAAGTGTAGTTGTGTTTCGTGGATCACTACTTTTGCATGGCAAAGCGTTGCAAAAATTTGTAAACGGGAAACTATTAACCAAAGTGTGCAGATTAATGAGAAACTAATCCTTTTTGTGCGAATCCACACGTTTTCGTTAAAATTAAATTGTACTAGTACCATATCAGTATGTTTTTTCCGTTTTTTTTTGCTATAAACTCCAAATTTAGACCTATTGTATTGAAATTTCGTTTGAGTATATTTTTTAAGCTCCCAAGAAGACCTACCAAGTTTTAAATGATTTGGAACACTATTTCATATAGCTGCCATATAAATGATCTGGCCGATTCGCCCAAAAAAGTTTTTTTGTTAAAATATAACCAAATCATTTGAAACTTGGTAGGTCTTCTTGGAAGCAGACAAATGTTGGGACAAATTGGCCAGATCGGTTATATGGCAGCTATATGAAATAGTGTCCCAAATCATTTTAAACTTGGTAGCTCGTTTTGGGAGCTTAAAAAATGTATTCACACCAAATTTTAATTCAATACGTTTAAAATTAGAGTTTATGCAAAAAAAAAACGGAAAACCATTGTGCGTTGGTGAACTATCCGGCACGTTTCACTATCCGTTAGCGGAACATTTGCGGCATTTGAACGGGTCCCGGTGTTCGCCCGTTTCAGTATCCGTTTTCGGGTCAGGTTTCGACAATTAGGCAAATCTATTGCGGTAAGTCCGCTATTTGGCCACCCACTGTACGTTTCAGTGTCCGTTAGCAATACGTTTTCGGCACATTCACGAGGAACGCCACAGTTTTGCTTTTCGTCCGTTTGCGCGTCCGTTTTTGAGCAATCCCGGAACCTAATGCGGAAACTCCGATTTTTATTCTCATTGATTTAATTTTAAATAAATCAGACCTTAGCTTGGAGAACAATTGTCTAGTCAGCTACAACTGAAAGTTTGAAGCATCCAGTCTTTGATCCATTAACGGATGACATACGCTTAAATATTTGTCAAAAGAAAATGTTTCAATAAAAAATATATCAAGTTTAAAATGCTTTTATTTTGCAGCTATATGAATATTCCATAAATTATTTTTAATAATAATATTTTTAACAGGTATATTTAACAAATATGTAATTTTCAAGGTGGGTTGTATTTTCGATTTTTTTTCGTTTTTTAAACTCAGTTTTCAATGCTATCAATTTATAAATATATTTATATTCTTTCTCGTTACTCTCTCATTATTAATTATTAATTCTTCCGGCAATGGTTGGCTAACTTCTTTATGTAGTTATTTTTATGTTTCTTTCCAATGTTTTTATTTATTATTTTTTATTGTGCTGATTGCAATAATCATTCTCTAATCCAAATCATTTATTAAACCTACGTTATTACCTATATCATAAGATATAATGTGTGATTAAACTATATTATGTAAGAATATAATATATAACTTTGTATCGTACTTTTTTGTTTGTTTTCGCTTTTATAACTCGTAACAATTACTTTCTCCTGCTGGAAATTCAGTATTTTATGTATTTTTTTTATTTTAAACAGTTTTAATCAATTTTGTTATATACATTACTTTCTTTACTTTCATTGAGTTTCGAGTGATACTTATAACAATTAACTTATAATTAATTAACCAGAATAATACTGAAATTAAGAGTGAAAATTAAAAGAAAATTAATTAGATGTCAAAATTATTAATTATTAGATTTTATTTTGTTTTTTATTCAAATTTAATTTTCTTTTGTAAAGACACAAATTAATAATTTCTAATTACTGCTTTAAAAAAAGGTAAATAAAAAAAATAAAATGATAATTTAAATAGGTTTTCAAAGACAATTTGAAATTATTAAAAAAAAAAATTATATTATTATTAAATAATAAAAAATATGCATATAACATTTTTTAAGATTCCAAGGAACCCCTTAAATTACAATGTATTATATAACACGTATAAAACTATTACTTTCTATGAGAACATTTTAATTTATGTAAATTTTATTTATTTCTCTATTCTCTATTTATTTAACACATTTAAATTATCTGTTGTGCTGAAGTGGGGAAATACCTTAGGTTTTTGTCAATAATTAATGCTATTCTTGATAGTATAAATCAATTCATGTTGTATATATTATATATATTTTCTGGTATATTAATATTAGAAGTTATTCAGGTTTTAAGCGATGCCATTGTACTACAGTTTGTCTGGGTTTCGAGATCATATCCTGCCAATGTTTCGTTTCTGAAGCCCCAGAGCCGTTTTTACCTATGTATGAATTAGACATTAATTGTAGATAAATAAATGATTATGTTTTAATTGGTAACATCTAATTAAAATTTAAACAAGAAAGGAAGCTAACTTCGGCACGCCGAAGTTTGTATACCCTTGCAGATATTATTTCATTAAATTGTACCTATACTTATTGTTTAGAGTTTGACAGTTACAGTTTTACATTCCCAGTTTTACATTTTCTCTACATTTACCGATCGGTTTATATGGCAGCTATATGATATAGTTGTCCGATTTTCATGAAATTTATACCAAAATTCTAGAATAATAAAGTAAGCGTATATCTTAGAGTAGATGTAAATACGTTGAAAAACAACGAAGTTATACTTTGTTTCCTGTTAATTTCCCGATCGTTTCTATGGCAGCTATAAGATATAGTCGTCCGATTTTCATAAAATTTTTACCAAAATTTAAAAATAATATAAAATGGCCATATCTAAAAAATGGTGCAAAAATGTTTAAAAACAGCAAAGTTATCATTTTTTTTCTAAAAATTTATCGAACATTTGTATGGCAGCTATATGATATAGTCGTCCGATCCGGCCCGTTCCGACATATATAGCAGTGAGAGCATATAGAAGACTATATGCAAGTTTCATTGAGATAGCTTTAAAACTGAGGGACTAGTTTGCGTAGAAACAGACAGACAGACAGACGGACAGACGGACGGACAGACGGACATGGCTAGATCGACTCGACTGTTGATGCTGATCAAGAATATATATACTTTATAGGGTCGGAAAGGTCTCCTTCACTGCGTTGCAAACTTCTGACTGAAATTATAATACCCTGCAAGGGTATAAAAATATATTTTGTTATATTATATTTTCATTTGTATTGAAAAACTCTTCAATCCAATCCAATCGGTAATTTTACCGAAGCATTAGAGCATTTGTAGGAAGCCCTTAAACTTGTAGCCTACTTTTTCCCAAATTGGATTTTGATATTTGGTGACCACTATATCTTTGAATCGATTAATCTGATTTGTCTCAAATGTTAGTACTGGCTTAGAAACAAAACTTTCTATATCTTAGCCGATGATTTTTAATAATTTAACAGCAAAATAGTTCCAAACAATTGTTTTTTTTAAGCAGTTATTTTTTCAATTTTCAAAAAATTAATTTAGCTTATTTTTGAGATAAAAGCGATCGGTAAATATATAGACTATGTAAAGCTGGGAATGTAAAACTGTAACTGTCAAACTGTAAACGTAATAAGTATAGGTAAAATGCAATAAAACTTCCTTTATTGTTATTTTTACAGTTTGACAGGTATAGTTTTGCATTCCCAGCTTTACCTTTTTCTCGTTGAAAAACAATGAAGTTATAGATTTTTTCCTATTAATTTCCCGATCGTTTCTATGGCAGCTATATGATATAGTCGTCCGATTTTCATAAAATTAAAACCGAAATTCTGAAATAATATAAAATGGCCATATCTCAAAAATGATGCAAAAATGTTGAAAAACAGCTAATTTATAAAGCAGAGAGAGTATAAAGAAGACTATATGCAAAGTTTCATTCAGATAGCTTTAAAACTGAGGGACTAGTTTGCGTAGAAACGGACAGACGGACGGACAGACGGACATGGCTAGATCGACTCGGCTGTTGAGGCTGACCAAGAATATATATACTTTATAGGGTCGGAAAGGTCTCCTTCACTGCGTTGCAAACTTCTGACTGAAATTATAATACCCTGCAAGGGTATAATGACAAGATGCAGTTTAAAGATGGACGATGCTAAACTGCAAAACATTCTCAAAGAACACGTCGTTTTTTTCGTATATTCTTTTCCATTTAAATAAAATTAACTACTGCAACATGGTTTTGCAGTTGGACAACAACAAATATCGGAAGTTTTTCAGATCTATTTAACATACCTACATTTAAATGATAAATAATATATTAAAGTTAAATTTCATACCAGCTAATAATATTCGACCTATTAACTCGTTTCTTCCAATGTTATCGAAGTCCATTACCATAACATCTAATGAACATTCCCGTATCTTTTCCCACGGAACGTTAAAACTAAATGATTCATTAAATACAGGATTTAATGTACATGTAAATATTGGCGTTTTTCTCTTCTCCATTCGTTTGTCGCCAAATTGCAACCAAACTTTAACATATGGATCTGCAAAAGAAAAAACAATTAGGAGAAATATTTTTGAAAATTCAAATTGCGTATAAAAACCAAAGAAATTTATAGGGAAAGTTTAATTTTCCTATGTATTATACCATATGCATAAGTCATGTTTCTTGATGTTGAATATCAAACTGCAGATATTTTTAAGGTTGTATATTTTCAGTCATTCAGTTTTCAATGGAATACCCATATAGTCTTGATATTTTAAGTTTTAAAAAGAAAACTTTAAAATATATATCTCTATTCAACACTTTAAGACATAGAGGTAATATTATCGCTATTGTTTGATGAATTTAATGATGCACGCTGAATTCTAGCAGTCCATAGTTTGACAGTCATTTTACCACAAAGTATTTAGTTCTTAAATTTATTTCAGATCCTACCAGATTTTCCATTAATATCCTTAGCTTTCAAGTTCCTAGCTTTGATCAATGTTAAGGTCAAAATGGAGTTGGAAGGATGGTAACATAATGAAGATAAAAGTTCTCCACATTTATCCTTTGCCGGTGGCTTTAATGCCTTCCAAAATGATTGTTTGCCAGCAAAATCGACCTGAAACGCTAATATTATATACTGTAATAAAATATTTAAGAAAAATAAATTACCTGACATAGGGGTAGAAATACTTCGCCGATAGAGTCATCTCTAGAGAAGCGATCGTAATCAAAAACATGTAAATGTAAAACCTAAACCGATATAACGAAAATATTTATTTATTTATTTATTTATTTATTTATTTCGCCAATGGTAAACCTTATCTGGCTACTTAACTAACTTAACCGACTTAACTAATTAACATAACTTGAAGATAAAAACATAAGAAATTCCTTCTTAATTAAAGCCCTTGGTAGGCAAGGGTCCAGTCGCATATTTGGCGGTAGATTATTGTAAAAGAATAAGGCCCTGAAAATAGGCTCATTTAAAGCATAATTCGTTCGACAAATAGGCAAGAAAAATGGCTCAAATGTTCTTAAGTGCCTACTAGGAACAGAAAAATGTATACAACTAAGCAATGCAGGACAATCGATTTTGCACGAAATAATGTCGAAAATGACAAGTAAGCTAGTAACGATTCTTCTATCGTGTAGAGATGAATATTCAAGCAATATATAGTATAGTAACGTATTAGTAACAAGTACCTGGTTATTATATTTTATAACTTACCCTAGATTGTAACTTTTGAATCGGAAATCCCTCAAAGTAAAACGTTTCGTTCCATCGAGGATTTAACGTCCTGCGTTTAATTTTTGTTTCCAATCTATGTTTCTTATCGGGTAACAAAGTGACACGAACATACGGATCCGATGTGCCGCTTAAATCTTTTGCTGGCAACTCTTTGCCTTGCAGAATTTTCAGTATTAGTGTTGTATTTTGAAAATCATATTCCAAAGAAAAATGTATTTGCCCAACATTTTCGCTTGGATCATTGCTATCCAAGTACATGTCGGTCATTGAGATACTTTTGTTCTAAAAGATTTTAAAATGTATTGCAATATTACTTGAAATCAAATGAGATTAATATACATACATTCATAACATATGTAGTTTTATATACTTACAGCTGCATCCTTCGTTGTTCCCTCCCCCGCATTTCCACCTATGGAACTGTTTTGTGATTTTGTCTGCGATGTCGCCGTTCCACTTGTTAAAATAAATATTTTTTTGTTTATTTATTCAATCAACTTATTTGGAAATAAATATTTAAAATACGAACCCAATTAATGGCGTTCTTAAACTCAAGAATCCATTTAATTTCCTATTTATATTATTTTGCAAAGGAGTTGTAAGAGCTTGAGTCACCGGCGGCACTTGTGGCTTATTTGGAGGATTGCTAGAGTCGACAATGTCCTGTGCAGCCCTATAAAAATAATACGATAAAATTAGTAATATTGCATATGAGAGTTATTTAAGGAGTCCAAGTTAAAGCAACTACTTAAAGTAAGGTAATCAGAGCGAAGTTTTAGAGCGATTGGCCAAAACGACTTCGTCAGAGCTGTTTAGCTGATTAAAGATAGGGCAGCTCCTCAACTCGCTCAGTGGTGGAACTTTAGTTGCCAGCTTAATCCGTGCTTGATGATTGATGGAACTCTGTGAGACGAGACTACATATAAAATAACGCTTTAAACGCAACCATTAAAATGTAAACAAAGCAGGATCAGCTGCTGACGCTATTCAGATGTCTCCAAATAATGTAGTGCAGTGGAGAACACTTCAACTTCTAAGGGAATAAGAAGAAGAAAGACAAAACCGAAAACCGAAGACCGAACATTTCTTTCCCCCTTCTTTCGCTCTATCACGATCTCTCTCTAATTTTCGGGACAGTTGCGTTTCTTAGTTTGTTTCGGACTTCAATAAACGAAGCCCATTCAAATTGTTTTTGTTTTTTTTGGAGATGCACCAACAAATCGGACTCGAAGGGAGTTCGGGGTCAAGTAGCAGTCGGCAGAGCGTCGATTCTGTCGACGTCGCAGTCGGCGTTGTCGCGTTGATGAATTGTTGATGAAAAGGCCTATTTATGAAATGTGGTACTGCAGGGTAACAGCTGACAGCTAACATGGGACCGGTCGCTAACAGCTAAAATCCAACAGACGGTCTGTCCCTAACAGCAAACAGTTAACATTGGACCGCTCGCTAAGAAATTTTTGTGTCCATTTTCGTTGTATGAAATGACCAGTCTATATGTTGTATGGTTAGTGCCTTAACGTAGGAAAAATCAGCATGTCTAGGGTTAAGGTGCTTGGGATCAAATCCCAGTTGGACCTTAGATTTTTTTTCCTTTTATAATATGAAATTAATTTATAATAACATAACATAAACATAACATAATAACATACAAATATCATTTTAAGTTTTTAACATTTTTTAAGACACATTACGTCTGTTTGTTGTATGTACTTTATTAATTTCTGCCGGTTCTTAATATTTTTTTTTCCTTTGGTTTATTTTATTTTTTTTATCTAAGATTACTTCTTATAAATAAAATTATGTTTATTTGATTTAACAAAACAACAAACCAAAATCTATATTTTAATAGAGGTTAAAGTTGTTTTTATGTGTTTATACTACATATGTACCCTTCCGGGACATTCACTCATCTATTGTACATGCACTCCTGATACACTACTCTTACACTACTCTGTCCCTTTCGCACGATCAGCAACTGACCCACCAATACACTGTGTCACCAATAAATAATTCATAATAAAAATAAAAAACAAAACAAAAAATTTAAAAAACGCAAATCCATCTCGCTCATTCCCTTCGTCAACAAGCTGACGGCAGGCAAAGCATTGATAACACGCTCTATGTATAGTTGTATACTCTTTGACATTACGTAGTAATAAAATGGGGCTTTTACTTTTCAAAGAGGAAAAAGAGTGGTTGAGTTTTCAGTTTTAAGAGTCCCTTCGAATTGACTGCAAAATTATAGTTTTGTTCTACATAAATACGATCTTTTTTAGCGATACTATTATAGTATTGGTTTTGATTCCCATGCAATTCTGAATTCTTCTTTTGCCTGTGAAAATTTGGGTATTCACTACGAAACGTTAACAATAACAAAAAAGGAAGCTAACTTCGGCACGCCGAAGTTTGTATACCCTTGCAGATTGGTTTCGATGTTTATATTATAGATTTAAATGCTGAAAACACTCACAAAACAGAGTTTCATTACATTTTACCTATACTTATTATGTTTACAGTTTGACAGTTACAGTTATACATTCCCAGCTTTACATTTTCTCTACATCTAAGGATCGCTTTTATGGCAGCTATATGATATAGTTGTTCAATTTTCATAATATTGTTACCAAAATTCTGAAATAATAAAAGAAGCTCATATCTAAAAGTAGATAAGAATATGTTGAAAAACAACGAAGTTATAATTTTTTTTCCTATTCATTTTCCGATCGTTCCTATGGCAGCTATAAGATATAGTCGTCCGATTTTCATAAAATTTTTACCAAAATTCCATACAAATATAAAATGGGTATATCTTAAAAATGATGCAATAATATTAAAAAACAGCAAAGTTATAATTTTTTTTATAAAAATTTATCGAACATTTTTAGGGCAGCTATATGATATAGTCGTCCGATCCGGCCCGTTCCGACATATATAGCAGTGAGAGTATATAAAAGACTATATGCAAAGTTTCATTCAGATAGCTAAAAAACTGAGGGACTAGTTTGCGTAGAAACGGACAGACGGACGGACAGACGGACATGGCTAGATCGACTCGGCTGTTGATGCTGATCAAGAATATATATACTTTATAGGGTCGGAAACGTCTCCTTCACTACGTTGCAAACTTCTGACTGAAATTATAATACCCTGCAAGGGTATAAAAAGAAGGCACAATTGAGACTTAACAGACGCCGAAACTCCAAATAGATTTACTATCGATAATAATAGCCATAGTCATGCCCGTCTGTTCCCTCAGTTTTTAACAATCTATCTATACCTATCTGAAACTATGCAGATGTCTTCTTTTACTAGTAAACATATAATCGGGATCGAGCTGGATCAGACTACTAAATCATATAGCTGTCAAAGGAACAAATGGAAAATGTTATAACTTCACTGTTTTTAATATATTTTCAGATAAGGCCATTTTGTATTATTTCAGAATTATATAAAAATAGTGATGAAGTAAGTTTTATCAAAAGTGAATTAATATATATACATCATTGTTTTAAAATTGTACAAAAGTAACTGAATTATACATACATTTACAATCTGCAAAGTTTAAATCAAACAGTTGACGGATTAGTTAAGGGGGGACATCTGAGTAACTTTTTTTAAAAATCGAAAAATTTTTTGTTGCTTAAAAAATACTTTAGAGTCTTAAAAATAACATATCAAAAGATAGAGTCCGGCAGAAGTTTCTAAGTGTCGAAATTTTCCATTTTGCAGCGATGCCTCATATGTAATCATATACGATTTTAAAACTTTAAACGCGTTTATTTCAAAACCACTTTTTTTGAGTTGGCCGAAAACATAACTCCAACAAATCTTAACCGATCGATCTGAAATTTTGACAGTATATCCAAAATACCTATGGCTATCGGCACACGTAGGATTTTTTTTTTTTTGCTTACTTTTTTTTTTAACAACAATTTTGTGACGTTTTTTTTTCATGAAAATTGAACTTTACTTTAAAATTTTTCGATTGGCTTTTTCATTTGGCCAAAAAAAAATTCTAGAAAATTGGCAATTTTTTTGCCAGTTACTCAGATGTCCCCCCTTAAGATTAGTGTATTATATGTACATATACTTCGTTATGGGTATCCGCAGTACCACATAAATATGCCATTTCATTAACGTGCCGACTGAAACTTCTACCGAGCCGACGATCTCATTCGACAATCGTGGCAAAACCGACTCTCTCACGCGTATCATTAAAAAAACATTTACAAATTGTTGATGAAATGTTGAGGACAACAAGGCCGATATTAATCATTAATAATCTCTTTCGGACCAGCACATAAACGTGGTGAAGTTATCCATCAAGAAAGGAAAGGTTAAATTGTTTAAACAGATTACTATCGTCGAAAACATTGGATTACATTGAAAACAGTGTAATTATATTGAAAATATTTTAATTATATTGAAAACAGTGTAATTATATGAAAAAAAGTGACTTAAGTGATTTAATTGAGAAAGAACTAAAAGGTAATACAGCAAACAAATTGCGAATTAAACAAATTGCGAATTATTGAAAAGAAATTATATATATTTTTTTTATATTTAATTACTAATGACGAGTACTGCAGGGTAGCATATGACTACTGTGCTCCAAACTACTGGTCAAAATTATAACACCGTGCAAGGTTATAAAAACGTTAACAACAACTTTAAAATTAATCTGACACTAAAAATCTGACGTTTTTTTAACTTACCTGAGACTATAACTACTCGAGTCCTCATCTTCATTGGGCTCTATAAATTGTAATTGCGACCTTTTGTGCCGCCACCACAAATAGCCGCCAGCTAGGAAGAGTGAGATTGCTATGATTAAACCCAATATAGCCAGACAAGCGATTAGTAATATGCTCGCCATATCTGCAAATAAAAAAATATTTTCCATTTACTTAAAATATTAGAATATATAAAATCAAAACAAAATATAGCAGCCGAATGGTTATGTAAGCACATCTATATCTATGTACATAGTTGTTTTTGCTTATGTGACTATTACTCCGTATAGTTGAATCATAAAATCATGGAAAAATATAGAAATCATATCAATGAAAACGCTTTTGCCTAATCCTTTTTTTTTTTTTTTGATAAAATGTATGTATAAACACATAATACCTCAAAAAATTATACTTTGTTAATTATAAATGTTTATTTAAATTATTATTGCCCCCTTTTAATCGCGATATTCAATGTTTGTATCGCTAATATAAAAAAGGCACATATACATTATTGCAAGCAGCTACTGAAAAATACTCTATCGAATAGAGTAATGAGAAGTGCAACCATCCCGAGTCCTTAACAGATAATTTATACGATATCTGCGATTAACGGAACTTTTAATTAATATTATAATAAGAAGGTAGTTTGTCTTTCCTTTCAATTAACTAAAATTCGGAAATATATGGACAAATTGTTGTAATTCAAAACAATACGCCGTTCGTGTATAAGTTAATATCGAGCTACTTATGCCGAGGAAATAAGACATCGAATACATTTTATTTATAAGAGACCTGTGTTGTCAAAGCTTGATATTCTCTTTGCGCATGACAACTAATAAAATCTAAATCCAGGAAGAGAGAAGTTGCAAGAACTTTGAAGCTTATAGGGTCTTCCCACACACCGTCAAAACGCATCCACCGTCCGTTAAACAAACGGTCCATAAGGTTTTGCCGTTCCGAATTTTCCCAAATGGACCGCCGTTAGAACACATTAAAATCTGACCACGGTTTGTTTGGCGATAGTTTTTCGGTGCAACTCTGATTTCTTCTTCTTAAAGCCTAGTACTCTGAGTATACTTTAGTCAGGGCCGGATTTACACTAGGCACAGGGCGGAAAATATTTGGGGGCGGCATAATTTTAAACGACAATCGAAAATTTTTTGTCATAGAAAAATTTTTTGTAATGTAAATAATTTAAATATGATATAAAGTAGATAAGGTAACACTAAGAACTATTATATGTAAATATCGATAAGAACACGAGCACTCGATATATTGTTATCGACCATGTACGATCGTGAGGAGTGCGAAAACTAATAAAACTGGCGCGAGTAAGAGAGGACGTGAAATTAATAAACTAAAGAAATAAAGAGTTTTACAGTAACAAAGGTGGTATATACGCGTGGAACATATTACGTTATTACTGTAAATTTCTGAAATTCTCCAAATAATGGAAATTTTTTGATGCTGATAGAATTCCTCGCATTATTTGATCCGTTTTAAGAAGAACACATCCGAAGATTTGGGAACAAAGGATCTGGCAGTACAAGCTATTTATTGAAAACCAATTATGAAGAATTCATACAACTTTTGGCAGATAAATTATCATCCATCATAGTTGAGGAAATCAATACGGCAAAGTATTACGCAATAGTAGTGGATTCAACTCCTGATGTTTCGCACGTCGATCAACTTTCATTCGTTTTGAGATACGTGCAAAAAAACGGCACACCTGTTGAAAGGTTTCTGATGTTCATTGAAAGCACTGGACACAAAGCAGAAGATTTTTTGATTGCTGTAATATCTGTTCTTGAATGCTTTGGCCTTGATATTGCAAACTGTCGAAGTCAGTCGTATGATAATGCGAACAATATGACAGGAATGTACTCAGGTTTACAAGCAAAAGTCAAAGAAATCAACGATCTTGCGGAACACACTCCTTGTGCTGGTCATTCGATGAATTTGGTTGGAATTCACGCAGTGGAAAGTACTTTCGAAGCAGCATCTTATTTTAACACAGTCCAAGCATTGTACAATTTCTTCACTGCATCTACACATCGCTCGGAAATTCTACAAACTCATGCAGGAGAGAAAATCGCTTTGAAATCATTGTCTACAACAAGATGGTCAGCTCGTCACGAAGCAGTAAAGGTGCTCAACAAGTACTATGGTGATATAATTGAAACTTTAATTACCATTGAAGAAGACATCACTGAGAACGCAATCACAAGGCAAGAAGCAAGAGCACTTCGCATCCAACTTGAACGACTGGAAACAACATTCATGCAGATTCTTTGGCATTTTTTACTTTCGAGATTCGATGCTGTTAGCCGAAGGTTGCAAAAGGTTGATATCAGCTTACCTGATGTGATTGATGACTATCGTGGACTGATCAAAGTAGTAGCTGATACACGAATGGAATTCGACGTTTATGAAAATAAAACGTTAGAAATCTCAGAAAGTCAAAAGCACCAGACAACTGTGTCTAGAAGAAGAAGAAGAATCGCGAGAGGGAGATGTTCAATTGTCATTCTTGACAATCTCGATTCTGAATTGCGAAGAAGATGCCAAGCATATGAAAAAATTCAGGAAAATTTTTCAATTATCACTCAATTTGGCGATTTAAATTCCTGCGAAATTCGTAAAACTCGGAATATCTAAGAACAATTTATACCTCAGATCTCGAACCTTCATTGAATGACGAATTGGTGCACTTCCATGCGTATTGCTCTGAGGAAAAATTAGAACATGATTCACCATCCAAGCTTTTGAAACCTTTGAAAAAGAACGACTTATATACTGAGTTCCCAAACGTAGAGATAGCATATCGTATATTTATGACATTGGCGGTGACGAATTGCAGCGCAGAACGTTCATTCTCATGTTTGAAACGATTGGAAAACTATGTTCGTTCAACTATGACGGGCAGTCGGCTAAATAGTCTAGCGATTCTGTGCATCGAGTCGGATTTACTTGAACGCTTGGATTGTGATGAATTAAATAATCAGTTTACGGTAAAGAAAGTCAGGCGTGTTCGCATTTGAAATGTGTATCAGAAACGCATTAAGTCCATTGTAATTTTTTTCATTGAATTTAAAATTTATATCATCCGACAATTTTATTTCTTTTTTGGACAGTGGATCTTGACGACGGTTAAACAATGCAAAACAAAATTACCACACTTTGCCTTAATTAACCCATTCAATCGAAAAATTGAACCATTTTCTAAACGAATAATTAAATTTATACCTAACACTGTAATAATTAAATAATAGGGTGTGCTCTTGTAAATTCAACGAAAACGATTATAAACATTTATAATTATCTCGTATGTTGACTTCAAGTTTTATTTCCTTGTAAAAAAGCCTCATGAATTATTCCCTGACTATGAAACAATAAATGAGTTTAAAATGAACGCCTTGAATCAATTTCATCTGCTAATGGTATACCTAACGATTTCATTGACACTTTATTAAGGTATAATTTGAAATAAATAATAAAGGCGGCATTTTATACAGCGCCCAGGGCGGCATTTTACAGAAATCCGGCCCTGACTCTAGTTATACGGCTAAACTCCATATAAAAAAAAGGGTGTGAAAAAAGGAAAAAGAAGAAATTTGTGCCTCGTCGTTTTTGCCGGTACTCTGATGACGAAAATGATGCCTGCGAAAATTTAATGGCGTTTTCAGATCAAGAGAGTAATACTGTCTTCCCACACAGCACATTTGTGAGGAACGTTTGGGATTTTTAACAAATGTGAAACACGTGTTCCCACACAACGTCAAAGCACATTCAACATCCGTACAGCTGATCGATCAGCTGTGGCTCATGAAAACGTAAACAAAGGCTGTCGAATTGGCAGTTGCAAATGGAGCATTTACCAACTATTTTGGCTGTCGTACAACAGCAAAAGGCAGAGATTGCGTCAGAATTTATCCGCACTAAATTTAAATGAATTAAATGACAAGGAATTTTAGTTTTTCTAATGATTTTTCTCTAACAAAGAGCAAATTCCCCGAAGAGTGTCTATAGGTGGTATAGGCATCCAAAATCTTTAAAATAAGGTAGAGGTAGGCGGTTTATATTAAATAACAACAATTGAGGACATATTGGGGCAAGAATATACAGAAAAAACGCCAAGAACTATTTTGGGCATGCTTGTAGCTTTGGCGCCACGTTTTAAATTCCATATCTCATTTGTTCCTCGCCAAGTTTGTTTACATTTTCGTGGTGAATGGTCAAATTAAGAAGTAGAATCAGAGTTGCACCTATCGGTGCAACTCTCGCCTAACTATCGCTAAACAAACCGTGTTTAGATTTTAATGCTGATCTAACGGCGGTCCATTTGGGAAAATTCGGAACGGCAAAACCTTATGGACCGTTTGTTCAACGGATGTTGAATGTGCTTTAATGTTGTGTTGGAAGACCCTATAAGCAGCTGATATCGGGGTATAACATTAATTGATTTGATTTTTTCTTACACCTAAAAGATGGAGCGAAAATTGAAAGAAAAGTATAAATGCCGTACCGACAAATTTTCTGCCCGCGAGGATAAAGTAGTATTAATAAGTGCGGTCAGGGCGAAACCCATAATATGGGCTTAAAAAAGTTCCTCCTAATCAAGTAATCGTATGTATAGGGGCGACGACCAGTTTTCCTTTTCTCCTTCAGCTCTTTAGCGGCGAAATATATTAAGAAAACGCCAAAATCCAATCCGGTTGAATTCATCTTTATTTGTGTGCAAACAACAAACAGCTGTTCAGTAATACCCTTTTCATGGCGTTTCATGACTTTTCCTTAATTATTTTGGTCACACTGGTTACCGAGCCAAATAAACAGCGATTCCGCTATAATAGGATCTTCCCACACACCGTCAAAGCGCATCCACCGTCCGTTGAAAAAACGGTCCATAAGGTTTTGCCGTTCCGAATTTTCTCAAATGGACCGGCATCAAAGAGATGAAAATTTTACCAACACTACGAAAATGTATACAAACTTGGCGAGGAACAAATGAAAAATGGAATTTAAAATGTCGCGCCAAAGCTACAAGCATGCCCAAAATAGTTTTTGGCGGTTTTTTTTTATTCTTGCCCCAAAGTGTCCCCAATTGCTACTATTTAATATAAAACGCCTACTTCTAAATTTGTTGTTTATAGATTTGGGAAGCCTATACTGCCTTTTCACACTCTTAGAGGAATCTGCTCTTTGTTAGAGAAAAATCATTAGAGAAACTCAAATTCCTCGTCATCTAATTCATTTTCATCCCAACCGTTCCTCACAGATGAGTGGGAAGACAGTATTAGCTGATATTTTCAGCCGTTTGTATGGGAGCAGCTGTTTTTAGTTGTAAATATCGGCTAACTGTCCGATACATCGCCGATATTTCCAGTAATTCAGTCGTCGAGGGAATACCAAATACGTAATTAAATATTTTTCGATAAATATTCTTATTCTTTGAGTGTTCCCTATTGAACAGTACCCAGAGCGACGAAACAAATTTAAAGTCTAGTACTAACATGAGGTAAACATTTTGAACGTAGCAAATTATCAGATTTTCCAAGGCTTCATTTTAATCTATCTTGCTAAGTATAAAGCGAACTCTGTTGGCCCTAGCGCCCCTATCGATTAAAATGCAAGAAATTTTATTTATATATGGATTTGCATCAAACGGTGCGTTTAGCAGAACAACATGGACTGATGATGGATTTCTTTCAATAGTTCTGCGTATGATCTTTGATCATAATGCAAGATTTTATCTATCATGCGTAAAAAAAGTACGCAACCTCTGTTCGTGTGTCGATGCTTGAAACATAAATTAAAATAATCAAGAGAAGAACGTAATTTGTTTGGAAATATAAATTCTTAATGACGAATTCATTGGAATCTTTAATTATTTTTTAAAATGTAGTATTTATTAATAAATAGTTAATTGCAAAATTATTTATTATTTATTTTTGCGGTCATTGATTCATAATTTTATGGATCTTTATATTGGTGGAAATAATTTATACGATGGCGTAATATATCATAAGCGTTTCCAAAAACACACCTGATAACTGATGTTCTGCTGAACCCAGCTCTTGATTCGTAATTTTATTTATTATATATTTATATATATCATAGATTTGAAATTTTATCGTTTTAAAAATAAAGGTATTATATAGTTAGTTTAATTCTACCGATAGATAAGGTTATTGTATATAAATAACAACAAAATAACAACTTTTTGGTGTTCTTCGCCTATATATTAACCTATATTACATGGATTAATTCCTCGGTCAGCCAATGGAGTCCGGGGAATGCCATTTCCGATCATCTGAAATTCACAAAAGAGCACAAATTATAATTAAATAAAATATATCAAAACCGTTCAAGTTAGTGAAGTAAAATATCTTTCCACGAGTACATAAGTACGTATAGATAAATCAGTCCTTATCGATCTTAAAAACCGATTAATTGATTTAATTAGCCACGGTGGATTTAGTCATTCAGTCGATATTTTCAGCGATTTTATGGGAACAGTTGTATATAGGTCGTATACGATTTAACGTTGTTTTTACTTTTTAGCAAATATAAATTCTGTTTAGCAACATAAAAATTAAAGATCTTTTAAATTCTTGTTGTGAACTTGCGGTTGGTTTTTGGTTATTTGAAGGGGGACGCTGTTAGCTAAACATTATTGCGTCTATTGTTATCGATTGCGACAATCTGACAATTGTAACCGGGTTTCACTTGGGAATATAAGGAAAATGCGCGCGTAGTGTATGCGTTATATATGCAGTTGCCTTTAAGTGTTATAAGGCTTATAATAAATATATTTTTCCAATTTGAAGGTGTGGTCACACTGTATGACAAGTCACTTTTACGTGTGAACGAATATTACAAATTACTACATATTATACATATGTACAATTAATTGACCAATATATTTTGGTATCGGACGACAACTAATCATGATTATCACCGTAAAAAACCTTCAACAGCAAACGTTTACAATTGAGTTTGATCAGAATAAAACGGTAAATTTTATGCATGTGTAAATACTTGTTATTACAAATTTTTAATACATATGTACATATGTATGTAGTTTGATGTATATGTATGTATGTGCATTAAACATAATTTTAAGCTAATTTTCTTTGTTATTCGGTTGTTTAAAGGTTTTGGAACTAAAAAAGAAAATATACGAAGAGCGCGGGGCCGAGTATATTGCTGAAAAGCAAAAATTGATCTATGCCGGTGTTATACTGATTGATGAACGCACCATTAAATCGTATGATGTGGATGAAAAGAAGTTCATAGTGGTGATGTTAACGCGCGATGCATCAGCTCGACAAACTGAAACAGATACCACAAACAAAATCCCTAAAGATTCAAAGGTTGCAACAGCGGGAAATGTTGAAAAATCGGAGATTAAACATACTGAAGATTTACCACGCAGGGAAGTGTCTCCCACCACCGCTGCCGTTCCTCCTCCAAGGCCAATATCCAATTCTGATTTAATTGGTGAATTGGCAAATGCAAGTTTGCAATCACGTGCTGAATCGAATTTAATTATGGGCGATGAATATAACCAAACTGTTCTATCCATGGTCGAAATGGGTTATCCGCGTGAGCAAGTGGAGCGTGCCATGGCTGCGAGCTTTAATAATCCAGAGCGTGCCGTGGAATACCTTATAAATGGTTTACCTGCCGAGGACGGTAACCTATTTAATGTCAACGAAGAAGCGATAAACCCAAGTTTGATTCAAGTTTCGGGTCAGAGCAATATTTCAGCAGCATCAACAGGCGAACGTCCAACGGAATCGAATTCAGGTAAAAACAATAGTATATGTATATCAGGGTTCAGCACGTTCGTCAAATTTCCTCTCACACCGATAGCCTAAATCAGTGGTCGGCACGAACCTGTTCCGCGGACCGGGCCAATGCACTGGTTGGTATTTGATATTAAAGCAACATATGGTTACCAGGATGAAATTAATGGACATTTTAAAATACAAATAATTCAACTAGTTGCTAATTTAGCATGATGGTTAAAGCCACAGAGTCAGTGCTAAATATTTGTCAGCTTTCTGACCTACAGTACTGCACACTAGTTTGTAGGTGGGGATATACTAGTTCCAAGAGAACTACCGCTATCTTTTTTACTAACCCTTGGCAATGTAAATGTTACTATCAGTTTTTGTAATGATTTTGGGCTAATCGTGGATATGCTTAATTTTCAGTAAATAAAACAACCATTTTAAATTCTAAATAGACCAACTTTATATTCTCAATACCATACATTATTATATTAATTTTGTTCTTGCCTTTGTCGTGAAAGAATTAGATTCTTAATACCAACCATTTCTAAATTAATTCTTGTTCTTACCTGTTTCGTCAAAGACTTCCTTAAAATTTTTAATTATTGAGCAATTTGTTACTAAATTATAAATCAGATCATTTCGGGAATAAACCCTATTAAAAGCAACTTACATTTCTTGTACCCCGGCTGGAATATCATACACTACCTGATCATCAACTGACCGACTGAGCTAAACCAAAAACTAATGTCAGGAACACGAACGAGAACGAAGGGGTGGCTAACAATAAGTGTATCAAATCGTACAATACTAACTAACTAGCAGTCATAAAGACTGGTACAGAGTAAATAGCCCTGACTAAGTATGGCTGGGTTGGAAGGTCGTTACGTAGTAGACGGCTTCTGCTGGAAAGCCGTATCAAGTCCCTTTCTAGAGGATTTGGATGGGCAGAGAGTTTTTCCTTGTAGGACGTTTTTTTTTTATTTCGTTCTTAACTGCAGAAATGCCGAGATCCCTGTGGATATTTTCATTGCGAATATACCATGGTGGCCCCAGTGAAATATCGCGCTGCAATATTCTCGATGCTCGAAGGCTGTGCGAATATCGGATGTTATTCTATTAACTTGCTCGATAGTTCTATGCTTTTCTCTGAAGCCAAAATGAGCTGGGATGATTTTGTGAGCTCCCAGATAAGGAATTATGTGCATTAGAAGGCATTTTTCAAATAACTTTGACAAGCATGATAGTAAACTTATTGGTCGTTAAGATGACGGAATCGTGTGGGCTTTTCTGGTCTTCGGTATCATTATAATTATAGATTTTTTCCATTTATTTGGGTAGTAGCCGAGACTTATGATCCCATTGAAAATTTTACAGATGACCTCAATAGCACAATTCGGAAGTTCAATTTTCATTTTTTGAGTTATTAGGTCATCGCCGGGATCCCTTTTCAGTTTCAGTTCCCTCATGACCTTCGTGATCTCGTTTGGACGAAATGATGCTGGAGATTCTGTTTCAGTTTGGATTTGTGGTAGTTCAAAAGGATTTGCAGCAGGGGTCGGCTAGAAAACGCCTTGGAGATGTAAGGCAAAAGTTTCGGCTCTGTCTTTGTCGCTGCGGGCCCAGGTGGAGGAGTCGACGTCGGCTTCAGTATTAAGCTGGGGGGCTAGCTGAATGTGGGAACTCACATACGCGAAGTCAATTAGATCAGGTATCTTTCTGGGGTCTGCTGGCCAATATGTGGGGCTACCAGGGGAAATGTAGTCCAGTTTATTTTTCCCATTGATGATGTGGTCGACGTGGTTTACATTTAGAAATTGTGTTAGTTCAAGTTCATGCCGTGAGACGCCGTTGGCATTCCACGTGGATATACCTAGATTGGACATTGATTATTTTGACTGTTGTGCTACAAACTACTGTATAGGAACTGCAACTTGTAGATCGTGTGAACTTCATTCTTCTTTAGGCTTTTATTATCTGGCTCAAGTTCGACTTTGAAAAGTGGTTGCGGCTTTTTGTTTTTGTTGATAATTTTGCTAACATTCTTGCCTTTAACGGCTTCTAGTATCTCAAAGGGGCGACGTCTGGTTCAATTCCTTTTAGCAGAACTTGCAGTCCCTGGCTGCTTTTTAGTTGGTAGGTGTAAAAGTTCTTTTTTTATTCTTCCAGATATTTAGACACAGCCCGGAAGTGTTCAAGTGCGCAACAATTTTGTTGACCAGGGCATTTGAACTTTTATGTTATGTGGGCTGAGCTTACGCTTAATTTGGATGTAGCGATCCATGCCAGTCTGTATGGCCGCAACCTCTTGTTGCTTATCGGAGCTCACGGTTTTTGTTACCATTGAATTTGGTGCTGCGATCAATTTCGCAATATCAGTTGTTGATTTAGTTGTTGTTTTCGCTGCGTTTGCAGAAATTGCAGCCCTGCTTGTTGTTGTTGCGTCTTCCATCGAAGCCGGTGGTGGTGGGGTTTGGCATTGATGGCTCCAAGATGTAGGAGTTGAAGTGAGTAGGGCGGGAGCGCGCTTTCTTGCCATCGGCGGTCAGTAGAGCCGGGTTGGGCTTGGTAGACGTTTTTTCTGCTTCGATATCGCGAGTTGAGAAATACGTAAAACAACCGTTTCTTTCTACGCTCATTCTTTTGATCGCCACTTATTATTTTGAGCTTGTTACTTTGCAGCTCAAAAACATGTCTCACGCACTAGTGTCCATATGTCATACGTACTGAAGGGCTTGGCCTAACTTATCAGTACGTAGTTTAGAGTTTAGAATTTACCTTTTCACCATGAAAAAAAAAATTATTAAACAAACACCGCGTAGCGGTCGTCCGTAGCCACGTCTGCACTCGATGAAGATCGAATGCGAATTAATCATATCATATCATAAATCATAAATTTTGTTAAGGGGGGTACTTCCTTATGTGCGAGGTGGTTCGACGTTCGTCATTCAAGGGAGCACCCATATTTTATATTAGGTTCAACGTTCAGCCAAGTGTGTACCCATGTTCGGCGTTCATTTACCACCATAAGGTCACTTAAGGAAGTATCCATAAACGAACTAGCTGGATAGGTTTTTTGATATTTCCGGAAACCATGCATACTAGAGCTGAAAATAAATTTTCAGTACATCGATTTTTTCTTAAAAATTCTACGAGCAAATATTTTATAATTATAATAACTTTAATACCGAATACCAAAATTTTTGGAAAGAGCACAAATTTTAAATAACGAGAAAGGAAGCTAACTTCGGCACGCCGAAGTTTGTATACCCTTGCAGATTGCTTTTCATATTTATATTATAAATTATAATGCCGAAAACAGACACTAAACAGAGTTTCATAACTTATACTTATTATGTTTACAGTTTGACAGTTACAGTTATACATTCCCAGCTTTACATTTTCTCTACATCTACCGATCGCGTCTATGGCAGCTATATGATATAGTTGTCCGATTTTCATAACATTTATACCAAAATTCTGAAATAATAACAAAAGCTCATATCTCAGAGTAGATGAACATACGTTGAAAAACAACGAAGTTATAATTTTTTTCCTATTAATTTCCCGATCGTTCCTATGGCAGCTATAAGATATAGTCGTCCGATTTTCATAAAATTTTTACCAAAATTCTGGTATAATATAAAATGGCCATATCTAAAAAATGGTGCAAAAATCTTAAAAAACAGCCAAGTTATAATATTTTTTCTAAAAATGTATCAAACATTTGTATGGCAGCTATATGTATAGTCGTCCGATCCGGCCCGTTCCGACATATATAGCAGTGAGAGTATATAGAAGACTATATGCAAAGTTTCATTCAGATAGCTTTAACATTGAGGGACTAGTTTGCGTAGAAACGGACAGACGGACGGACGGACAGACGGACGGACTGAGAGACGGACATGGCTAGATTGACTCGGCTGTTGATGCTGATCAAGAATCTATATACTTTATAGGGTCGGAAACGTCTCCTTCACTGCGTTGCAAACTTCTGACTGAAATTATAATACCCTGCAAGGGTATAATATGTAAAAAGGTTTAACTTTTCCACGAGTTTACATACGTATTGAACTTTTTCGATTAAATCGGCTCGGATTACTCATATAGATCTCTCGCATAATTAAAAAAAAATCTATCAATCGCTTATAGAATCGATTTTATTTCCAGTTCTATTTTCCACCCAAGCTCGAAGCGCGTTTCCTTATCCAAAAATGCAATTGCATAGCCTAGTGTAAGTGGGCTTTAAAAACTGCACTGTCCCAAAAACGCAGCCCAATGTAAATGAACCTTAGCTTGTTATGACAATGAGTATTTATTTTTTATTTACAATACTCTTTTATAGATCCATTTGAATTTTTGCGAAGCCAGCCACAATTTCTTCAAATGCGCTCATTAATTTATCAGAATCCACATCTTTTGCATGCGGTTTTGCAGCAGGTGAGTTTTTATTATAACGATCTGTTTGTAGGAATCTTCACAATATTTTCACAGATTGGTCAGACAAATCCAGCACTCTTGCAACTGATATCAGAGAATCAGGATGCGTTTCTCAATATGCTAAATCAGCCAATTGAAGGAGAAACAGACTCGGGTTCCGGTGACTCAGTTTCTCGCGTTCGTAATCCCACCCAGATTTCAAATATATTTGCATCTGCAGATGCGCAAGAAGAAGAAGGGAGAGGAACCATGGCTGCTGGACGAAATCCCACCGATGCTACGGAAAACTTGGATTTTGAACAACAGCCACCAGGAGCTGGAGTGGCAACCATCCGCATTAATCCCCAAGATCAGGGAGCAATAGAAAGGGTATAAGAAAAACTAAATTTTAAATATAAATAAATGTTAACAATTTTTTCCTTTTAGCTAAAAGCCCTTGGATTCCCAGAGGCACTTGTATTGCAAGCTTACTTCGCTTGCGAAAAGGATGAAGAACTAGCTGCTAATTTCTTGCTTTCATCTAGCTTTGATGATTAAGATTTTGAAAATATGTAAAAAGTAACTAAAATACACAAAATACAAGAGATATCGTTACGAATAAAATTATAAAGATTATTTAAACTGAAAATGTAAATGTCTAACCACAGGATATGTCTATTCCGTAACATCCCCGTCTAAACCGGTTTTCAGACGCAGTCTACCCGTGTGAAAGGTGAAACTCCTCGTCACACAAATCTCCATTCACCTTCCTGAATCCTAAATAGCTGTGGCTAATCCAAAACAAACAAGAAAGGAAGCTAACTTCGGCACGCCGAAGTTTCTATACCCTTGCAGATATTATTTCATTACATTTTACCTATACTTATTATGTTTACAGTTTGACAGTTACAGTTTTGCATTCCCAGCTTTATATTTTATCTACATCTACCGATCGTTTATATGGCAGCTATATTATATAGTTGTCCGATTTTGATGAAATTCATACCAAAATTCTGAAATAATAAAATAAGACTATATCTCAGAGTAGATGAAAATACGTTGAAAAACAACGAATTTATAATTTTTTTCTATTAATTTTCCTAATTTTCCTATGGCAGCTATATGATATAGTCGTCTGATTTTCATAAAATTTTTACCAAAATTCAGAAATAATATAAAATGGTCATATGTAAAAAATAGTGCACATATGTTGAAAAACAGCTAAGTTATAATTTTTTTTCTAAAAATTTATCGAACATTTGTATGGCAGCTATATGATATAGTCGTCCGATCCGGCCCGTTCCGACATATATAGCAGTGAGAGCATATAGAAGACTATATGCAAAGTTTCATTCAGATAGCTTTAAAACTGAGGGACTAGTTTGCGTAGAAACAGACAGACGGACAGACAGACAGACAGACAGACAGACGGACAGACGGACATGGCTAGATCGACTCGGCTGTTGATGCTGATCAAGAATATATATACTTTATAGGGTCGGAAACGTCTCCTTCACTGCGTTGCAAACTTCTGACTGAAATTATAATACCCTGCAAGGGTATAAAAAGTATGACTGAAGCGTAAGCGTAGGAGTAAAATCGGTTACCTTTTGTTAGTCTAAGTTCATTCTGCGTTTTTGAAAAACGTGCTTTACTAATCTTTAAAATTTTTGCCAACGTTCCAAACAGGCATTTATGGGCCGGGCCAGAAGAGGAATCTTTCGGCGGCCAATTATAAAAACGCCAGCAAGCAAATTTAAAAACAGCGTCAGTCACAAACAAAAAATGTTGCGCCAGGCCTAGAGAGTGGCCTGGTAGCACTCTGTTATTTTTCCCGGTTCATTCTTATCCGGAAATCGAATCTGTTAAACTGGCTCCAGCTGGCAGTCCGCCCCCTTCATGTTGCGTATCGATAGGTTCCCCGCGCCCATCGATACCCATGGATAGGAAATGCTTTTTCTAAAAAAAAAACCATACATCACAAATAAAGAAAGTAACACTTATATCCGAAAAGTTTATTATGTAACCAGTATAATATATTATATAAATATTTCTTATATAAATTTAAAGGGTTCCGGCATTAAATCGGCCTTGTTTTTAATATTAATCAGTAAAAGGAGTGTAATGCCGATTTTAAAGCCGATAACTATATGAAATGTCCATTTTAAGATATTATATAGATTTCTTTGGAACACAATATGGATATTTTTACTAGTTGTTTACTTTATTAAATGTAGATATTTGGATAAATAAATAAATATATATTTTCATTGTCGTCATATATATTTAAACCTTTTTGTTTATCTTATAAATATATATATTTAAATTTATATTTTCAAATATATATATTTATTTACGCATATTTTAAATTTATATGTTTACTATTTTTATTTATTTATTTATTTTATATAAATATTTTCTCAGTGTAAAATATTCGTTGTAAATACTTTTGTCGTAATTTTTTAAGAAGTTTTATTATGTAAAATCTTACAAATTCTCGTAAAAAAATATTCTCTTCGTACGTTTGTACAACCATTTCATAATTCGTTAAAAATGATTTCTTTAATTGATTTGAATATAAAATACATATATTTGTTAAGTCTAAGAAACGTTGATCAACTTAAATCGAGTTTCTGAATCAAGATTTATGGCTTAATATTAACATATGATTGATTATATAACATACCAAGTCTCCGGTTTAATAGGTAAACTCTTAGAACTTTAATTTTACGGAAAGAGATGCCTCAACTAGTAATATTAAAAATAAATATTAATTTTTTGTCTTTTTATATATTAATCAAAAATTTGCAAAAAGTATCGAAATGTAATTTACTGTGGTACTTAAGGTAAATTAAAACAGTTCTCTTTCGATTTTAGCTCAATAAAATATTCGGAATATTTCAAAATTTTAAAATTTTTTCTAACATCTTTATAAATTAAACAAGAAAGGAAGCTAACTTCGGCACGCCGCAGTTTGTATACCCTTGCAGATTGGTTTTGATATTTATATTATAAATTTATATACAAAACAGAGATTCATTTATACATTTTCTCTACATTTACCGATCGCTTCTATGGCAACTATATGATATAGTTGTCCGATTTTTATGAACTGTATACCAAAATTCTAAAATAATAAAAAAAGGTCATATCTTAGAGTAAATGAAAATACGTTAAAAAGCACCGAAGTTAAAAATTTTTGTCCTATTCATTTCCTTATCGTTCCTATGGCAGCTATAAGATGTAGTCGTCCGATTTTCATAAAATTTTTACCAAAATGCTGGTATAATATAAAATGGGCATATCTTAAAAATGGTGCAAAAATCTTAAAAAACAGCCAAGTTATAATTTTTTTTCTAAAAATGTATCGAACATTTGTGTGGCAGTTATATGATATAGTCGTCCGATCCGGCCCGTCACGACATATATAACAGTGAGAGTATATAGAAGACTATATGCAAAGTTTCATTGAGATAGCTTTAAAACTGAGGGACTAGTTTGCGTAGAACGGACAGACGGACAGACGGACATGGCTAGATCGACTCGGCTGTTGATGCTGATCAAGAATATATATACTTTATAGGGTCGGAAAGGTCTCCTTCACAGCGTTGCAAACTTCTGACTGAAATTATAATACCCTGCAAGGGTATAAAAAACATGTAATTGATTTATTGCTATTCGTATAAGAACATTAGAAAAAATATTTTTTCTCTCAAAAACAAATATGATTTTAAAACAATCCACAAAAACTGTTGGTTTAATCTTTTGGGATCATAAACTCTATAACAAAATGTAAGCTCTTATTATATACATATGTTATATCCAACATTTTTTAGATTTGAAGGAATCTGTTGTTAAATAAGAAGTATGGCTGCTTGAAACTCACCATCAGTTTATTATACTGAATGTAATGATATTGCCATGTATATAAAAAAGAAAATGTACAGCTATTGCAAAACAAATAAAAAAATATTTCTAATCTCCTCTTTTACTAAAAATTTAAGAACATTTAGGTTTCAACAATGTTGGTATACATTTAGCTATATTTTATTGCCAACAAAATTTACAAACTTAAACGGAATTTAGTCAAGTATACTTGAAATATATCTCAGAAAAATAGATACATATGGAAATAAGGTTGTAGAAGTTACAACATACTATGGGATTCGATTTTCAGTTTGTTGGATAAAGAACAATTAAAGATCCCTGAAATATTAAAAATGGAATTGGATAGCACCACATTAAGATGGTCAAAACTCCATGCTAAGCTGTATAAACGATTTATATAAAGAGAAAAACATTTATAAAATCTATTAAAAGTAAAAAAAAAGATTGATAAGTAAATATATATCTTCAGTCTATGGTAAATTATTTTTGTGCACATATAACTAGATAAATACCTATACTACTATGAAACAAACAGCTAAGTTTCGGGTTAACATGATTTGTGGGGGCGAAAGGTAGCATGTTAAAACAAACTGCGTGCGAAAGATATGATATTAAAACCAATTTCGATAGTTCCAGTTCTTATAATTTTAAGATCTGCTGCTTTACACGTTCGGGAATATTTGAGAGACCACTAAGCAATACTACCCTTGTACCCAATGAGTACAGGGTATAAACCAAACCCAAAAGGAGCGACACGAAACAATTATGTGTTGGAAAAAATAACTTCTGATGCTTTTCATAAGTTCTCAGATAATTTGGCAACTCTATGATATAGTTATCCAATTCTATTAAAATCTAAAATATTATTTTAAAAATCGAACAAAAACAAATTTAAAATCGGAATTAATAACTAGGTTTCCGGCTTATCAAACAAAAAAACCTATCTTAATGAGGTGAGATAAAGGATGATGGCACCTTCAACTACACAAATTTCTAATACCATAATTTAGATAAATCGCAAAATTAATAAAAAAAAAAGCAATTTAATTGATTTCTAATTCGGCACTCTGGTAAGTCTTTAGTTTCAAGGCTGTATATTTTGCAATTATAGCATAGCAGTTGTCAGCAGATTTTCAAGTTTCGAAGTTATGAGAAAATTAAATAGTTTAGGCATCGGAAACATCAATTTTATTCAGACAAACAAAAACAACAAAAATTTTAGTTTATAAAAATTGTATTTTCACCATTTTCCCTCAACCGAATAACCTCTTCTTGAAGCTTTCCTTTTAATTGTTAATGCGATCTATTTGTTAGGGCACTCGCAAGCTGATATTCAAATATCTTTTAATATATCATTTAATTACACTTTTAACTACGTACAGTACGTTTCTGTAGATTTAGTCGTTTAAAAGTTAAGGGAAAAACAAGAAAGGAAGCTAACTTCGGCACGCCGAAGTTTGTATACCCTTGCGGATATTATTTCATTACATTTTAACTATACTTATTATGTTTACAGTTTGACAGTCACAGTTTTGCATTTCCAGCTTTACATTTTCCCTACATCTACCGATCTTTTATATGGCAGCTATATGATATAGTTGTCCGATTTTTATGAAATTTATACCAAAATTCTAGAATAATAAAATAAGCTTATATCCCGGAGTAGATGAAAATACGTTGAAAAACAACGAATCTATAATTTTTTTTCTATTAATTTCCCGATCGTTCCTATGGCAGCTATATGATATAGTCGTCCGATTT